GTCCCGCATTTTTCAAAGAAACTGCCACCCCCCCCCCAAGTGTCGTGCCTGCACCTGCCTGCATTTTTCGAACCTTCCAACGACCAAACGAGCCGGAGTCAACGACGGGTATAACAAACGACATTTTCGGGGGAAAATGTCTCAGGGGCGGAAAACGCACCCCTGACGGGCTGCGAACATGGCAAAGGTGAAGTTGCCACCTGTCCTCCCGGACATCCGTCAAATTGGAACTATACAGAGGAAACTTGCACAAGGACGACACGCATAAGAAAGAGAAAAACAAAACTTGCCACCCCTGTCTCATTTCCGTCCGCCTCAGGCCCAGTGCGCGCTTGCCAGCACGACGGAACCCCTTTGACCGCCAAAGCGCCGTTGGATGGAGGTGCTAGGTGTGATCGGATGGTGCTTCGCAGTCAAAAGTCGTCCGCCGAGGTGGACGTGCGAGAGAGAGCGATCATGATGGTCCCCACCCACGTTTCCCTTTCCATTTTGGGCCGGCCCGCCTAAATTCCAACCGTTCCAACAGCGGGGGCCAAGTCCCACAACCGTAGCAGCGTTGAGTTTACTCTACGCCTGAATCTGGACTCGTTTGAGGACAATGGCAGAAAATCGCGTTGAGTTTCCTCAACCGCACCTGTCCATACAGACGTCCAGATTCGAGCGTTAAGAAAACTCACCGCCGCAGGCACGCGGAAAGCGAAGACCCTTCTTTGTTCCTTTTTCAAAGAAAGAGAAAGGGCGCCCATTTCCACCGCTGTGCAGCCACGTGTCAATTCCCGCGGTCAGGTCCTTCTTCTTCTTCTTTTTTTTTTCGGTTTCTTGGGTCACTGTTTTGTCCTGTTATGTGCATTGTTTTCCTTCGTTTTCCAATTCAATCCTTGGACCGCTACTCTCCAAATGTGCAAAATGAGAATGAATCGTCAGCCATAAAATGGCACGATACACCGCCATGTTTTTTGTCGTTTGTGCACGTCGAGAGCGGAGCGAGGAGGCCATTTCCACTCGTCGGCGCTCCCACCCATGACTTTTGTACGATACGCTCCGATACGACAAAATGGTCGCACAAGTTCGTCCATCTAAACCAGGCGGAGGGGTCGGCGTCGCACACTGGCGCCGCCACCGCACGCTGGCGCCAATCACCAGGGGCTAGCTCCCACTTACACGCATTACGCGATATTGACCGTAGATAGCAAAGATCAACGGCCAGATTCTCGTAATCCGTGCAAGTAGGACCTTGCTTTTGATGTGATGGTCGCACGCAGTTGGTCCTACCAGAGCCAGGCGGACGGGTCAGCGGCGCACGTTGGCGCCGCACATGCCGCTGCCGATCGCCAAATGCGATCGAGGGCGGGGCCGCATACTGTTACCCACCAGTAGTTGTATGAGAGTTTTTCCGGTCGAATGGGGCCTCAGTTGTGATCAAGTACGTCCGTGAAAGTCGTTGTGCGAGTTTTCGCTGGGAATGAAATGGCGCCCAACATGGACAGAAAAATCTCAATGTCGTCCATCTCTTCGATCTCTTCCCCGCCAGCTTGGCTGCAGGAATGAGTCTTTCCGCCCGAATGTGGCGTCGATTGCGATCAAGTACGTCCGTGTCAAGGCACCCGTTGCGATACATGTGTCATCAGCTCTTCCACACTGTAGCGCTGACTGGTCGATCTGTCTGGTTGGAAGTTGCAGTCGTCGGTAGTCCGGGGGCAAGGTCCCATTTGCACGGATTAAGAGATTCTGGCCGTTGATCTTTGCTATCTACGGTCAATATCGCTCGCTTAATTCGTGTAAGTGGGACCTACCCGTAGCCCCGGCGTTGGAGTTGCTGGAGACGACGCCCCGCCACTCTCGAAATGTGGAAAGGACAAAAACGTGGCGGGCGCATGTGGCCATGTTCTAGCGGGAAGTTCATTCTCATTGTGAACATTTCGAGAACGGTGTGGCGATGGCCTTAGCGGTTCGTCTCCGCCACGTGTTGGCCCTTCTTCGTGTCGTCCTGGCGCGTTCTTCTTCTTCTTCGTGGTTGGCGCACACCTCTCCTTCTTTTGCGCACACTCAGTTCAGGTAGCTATGGTGGCCGCATGGTCCAGATTCAACGAATGACGACGACGAGTCCGTAGGCCAGGTAGAAACGACGGTCGCCATAGCCGAGCGGTGATCGGCCGGGTAGAAACAACGAGGGCTTCCCAGGTAGAAACGTATAACCCGCTTCTTATTTATTCGTCAGTCAAAGCCTGTCGCTAATTAGTCAATCAACCAATCAAGTAGAGAACCATCGATCGGAGAGAAACCCTTCTTACTGCGAGCGATGCAATTCATCCATCCAGGACAGCGGTTACTCAATCAGGACAGCAGTTAATCGATTGATCAATCAATCAATCAATCAACCAATTAACCAATCAACCAATCAATCAATCGATCGATCATCCCATCAATCAATCAATCAAGCAATCACTTATTACTGGTGTCAATCGAGGGAGATGGGGGAAGCCACTGAGCAAGATGCAAAGAGGAGAAAAGAGGATGGCGGTGCGACTGCGACGCCAGCAACGGGCGTTGATTTCTCGAAGAAGGCGAAAGGGGACGATCGAGAAGCTCAGGGGCGCCATAGCCATTTTTGGACAGATTTCGTGCAAGTTTTCCGGCTGGCGGTCTGCGTGGCGGGCATTTACGTTTCCTACCTCACTCAGGGTGTTCTTCAGGAGAACTTGTGAGTTGGGAATGCTCGCACCAACGTTGCCCTTCTCCTCCTTGAATCCATCCATTTCCCCCTTGGCCCTTTCTCTTCTCCTCTCGTCGCGGTTCATCTTCTATCTATCTCGCTTTTCCTCTCCTTCCTCGGACTCCATTCTGGTTCGCTTTGGTGTGAGGTCTCGCTCCTCCTGATTCGCCTACTCGTCCTTTTCCTCCTCCTCTTCCTCCTCTTTCTCCACTTCCTCTTCTTTTCTTCCTCGTCCTTTTCCTCCTCCTGTTCCTACTCCCATTATATTCTCCCTCACTATTCCTCCTCGTATCGTCCTTGTCTTCCTCCTCCTCCTCCTAGCCCTTCTCGGCCTCCTCCTACTCGTCGTCATCACCCTCCTTCTCCTCCTGTTTCTCATCCTCCTCCTTGTTCTCCTTGTCCCCCTATTTCTTCTTATTCGTCCTCCTATACTCGTCCTCCTCCTATACTCCTCCTCCTCCTCCTTCTATACTACTACTACTACTACTACTACTACTACTACTACTAGATTACTACTACTAGATACTACTACCACTTCTACTAGTACTCGCCGTAATTGTCGTCGTCTTCATCGTGTTGCTGCTGGCCCACCTAACTGTCTCGTTGCGTACATGCATTCTTATTTTTCTACGCTCCTGCTCCCCCTATTCGTTGTCATCCGCCTCTCCTCCTCCTCCTTGTCCCCCTCCTCGTCATTCCTCCTATTCTTACTGTTCTTCTTCCTTGTCCTCCTCCTCCTCCTCCTCCTACTCGTATTACTCCTTGTAATCGACTGTTTTTTCATCATGCTGCTCCCGGTCCTCCTCTGTGTCTCGTTGTCTTTTAGGTGGCAGTATTTTTCCATGTTCGGGTTGGTCTTAACTTCGTTTCTATGTACTTTTCATATTCATGGACATCAATCATTGTTTCGATGTTGGTAAAAAAAATTTAAAATTGGTACTAATTACTCAGGGCATACTCATGCTGGGACTTCTCTTACTTATTTATGGACGTGATTGCGGTCAGATGCATTCAGCTCCGGCCGTAAAACGGTCCACATTCGTTTAAGATAGAGAGAGTGTGACTGCATCCTCACTTCACCATTCGTGTGCTTTCATGTCATCCCGTCTATGGTTCAATAGGTAATAACTCCATGGTTCAACAACAACAAAGAAAAAACCCCTCCATGGTTCAGCTTTAGATATATTGCAGTAACTGAAAATAAATGCAGCCGTTAGGTTTAACTTTTAAACTTCTGTCGACGCGTTTTTTTTTTTTTTTTTTTTTACATTTTGTTTTTCAATTTCTATCCTACGCTCTTTCTTCCTTGCCGAGATTTTGCGACCGAGTTTTGTTTATCGACGCTTTTTTTTCTTTTTTCTCACTTTTTTTAAAAAAACTTTTTATCCTGCGTTCTTTCATCCTTGACTAGATTTCAAAAACACGTGTGCGACCGACGGGCCTGTCTCAGTTGGTACACCGACTGATGAGCTGTTGAAAATGCAGGCCTGAGGTCGAATCCGAACGGAACCTTTTTTTTTTTTTTTTTTTTAAAACACCTGCAACAACGGATAGGAGTGATGATAAGAGCAAACGGAACCTGATGAATTGACAACATAGAATACCTCGGAAGGACCTGGGTCCGGTCATTTCGACGATTTTTTTTTTTTAAATTTATTTTAGTTCGACGATCAGTGTTATCTCGAGGCAGTCGCGCTCGGAACGTAAAAAAAAAAARACAAAAAAAAAAAAACACGTGCGAAAGTATTCCGAAAGATTCCCGGGGCACAGTCCCACCAGCAAAAGATTTCCGAGGCACAGTCCGACCAGCAGAGAGGATTGGATTTAACGGCTGAATGTGGACGTGTTTATGGAAAGGTGCAGAAAATACTCGATTGATCTGCTTCTGTATCTCTGCATAGAGCACTTCCAGATTCATGCGCGTTATTTTTTAATCCTCTTTGCTACGGTAGTGGGACTGCGGCGGCCCCACAGAGATTTCATTAGATGAGTTGGAACCAGTTCAGGTTAGCGGAGTGAAAAATCAGAAGTAGAAAAAAAAAAGAAAAACAAATGCGAAGCAAAATGAAAAAAAAAAAAAGGTGCAGAGCACCGAAAGTGCTAACGGAGGAGCGGCGCTACCTGTCTTCACCAGAATGGAACTTGCGGTCATTATCGCCGAATCTGGACGGAAAGCCGCGCCAAATTCAGCTGTAACGACAGTGCATTGTATTCGGGTGAAGACGGTACAACTCTTCCCGTCCAGATTTTCTGTGTTTGTTAAATGCYGTTCGTTCCCTTTTTTTTTTTTGTTTTTTTTGCCCTTTTCTATTTCCCCCCAGCTAAAAGAACTCGTCGAAAACTCGTCGATTAGTCCAAACTGATTTAGTTAGGATTAGCGTTTCGAGGGGGAAAAAATAAAATAGATTAGCGCTGCGGGTGTCTTTCTCCCAACATCATACGCATGCGTGTTGCTCTTTGTCATATTCTAATTTTGGGGTCGTTCCAGCTGCAGTCTGAAAGCGACATATGCATTTTATTATTTTTAATCTAGAAACGCATTTTGTTCCCGTTTACTGTGGGCGTAAAAAAAAACAAAAAAGCAAAAAAAAGCAGATTCTTCCTGTTTCTGCGGCTTCTTCGTCTTCTTCGTATCTTAATATTATTATTAGTATTTATTATTAATGAAACAGTAGACCTATATTTTGTCGTTGTTCCTCCTATTATTATTTCATTAGCGATTTATTTCGATATAGTTATCATCATCGAGCATCAACTGTCATGGGAGACGTATCAGCAATCCGGGTGCGTACCCCCCCTCTTTTTCCCTGCGACAGAGTTAGAACCACTCGGCCCTCTCTTTCAACCTGTGAGAAAGGTAATTCTTACCGACTATTAACTCTTCACCTGTAACTGTTTCTCCCTGTTATATCGCCATCATCATCATCATCATCTTCATCATCATCATCATCATCATCATGGGGGCTTCATCGTCGTCATCATTTCCCATCATTGTCATCATCGTAACACATCATCGTCGTCATCGTACCCCATCATCGTCGTTATCATGGACTTATCATCGCTAGCGTGACGAACAGCCTAGACTCTCCCCCATTAAGCGTAATTGGGACCCCCCCTCCTCCCCCCCAAGCATACCATGACTCGCCTGTGATCCTTTTCCTGCGTGCTTTTCCGTCTCGTCACCATTCTTCTCTCTCTCTCTTTCTCTTGTGCTCTGTCCTCCTGCATGCTTTTCCCTCTCCGAGCTTGCACACGTACTGCACCAAGGAACTCAGTATACTTGCAAGTGGAACGGATACACAGTTCACACCGCCGTCGCGACACGCAGACACAGAGAGAAATAAAGAGAGAGAGAGAGAGAGAGAGAGAGAGAGAGAGAGAGAGAGAGAGAGAGAGAGAGAGAGAGAGAGAGAGAGAAGGTGGAGTTTTTATGTTTCCTTGCTAAGAGAGAGAGAGAAGGTGGAGTTTTTATGTTTCCTTGCTTCTCCTTACTCAAATGTTTGGCTCCCAACCCGCACGTCGCTAGCCAGCGTTGCCAGCGTCGCGAGAACTGGTTATTGTCTTCATTATCACATCGAGGATGAGCTATAAGACGTATTCGATTCCCTTGTTTAAACATTTTGGTTACCATAATCGTGTTCATGCGCAGGCGTCTCTAATGTTGACGGTTACACGCCGTCTCCCCCTGTTAATACTGGCAGCTACCGGCTTCCCCTGAACAGAAGCCTTTTATGTATATGTATACACGTATACGTATCTATATATATATGTATACGCCGCTCAACCTACATCCACGTGGGCGGCCTTGTACGCAAGAGGTTCTGAACAGGGGGAGTTGTAAGAAAGAAGATAAAAAATTGAATTCAATTTTCCCTGGTTTTCTTTTCTTCTTTTTTCTTGTTTTCGCATTTGCGCTCTGATATTCCTGTGACAATATATGTATACATCCACGTGGCCGGCCTTGTACGTAAGAGGTGATGAACAGGCGGAGCTTTCCTTCCTTCTTTCCTTTTTTGTTGTCTTTTTTCGACTATGCGCTCAGATACACGGTGTGACGATATTTTTGTGACTATATATATATATTGTCACACTGTGAATCGGAGCGCAAAGGCGGAAAAAGACAAAAAAGACAACAACAACAAAAAAAAAGTAAGGAAGGAAAGCTCCGCCTGTTCATCACCTCTTACGTACAAGGCCAGCGACGTGGATGACAGGTTGAGCGCTGGCTGCCCCCATCCCCGTGTGTCACAAGGACCCACTTGCACGCAGCCAAAAGGCAAAGAGGTAAAGAAAAGGAGGAGGAAACCAAACCTCACAGGGGCGAGAGAAAGAGAAAGGGATCCAGTCAAAGAAAGGACAAGGGAAGAGGAAGGCCTATCAGTCAAACAAAGCAAATGGACACATCCCACAGATAAACCAATTGCCACTGTCACAACTAAGTTCAACATATTTTTTCGTTTTTTTTTTTTTTTTTTTTTTTTTTTTTTAATACCGGGCAGTTCTGTGTGACTATATATCGTGAATATATATATACTGTTGAGAGTTCAGCCTCCCGACGAGTCGGCGAAACTCCGCCGAAATAGTTTGTCACAGCCCCTCGTTTCTTGTCCTCTTTTCCCTCCCTCTCT